ATAAACTCAATGACATACCTGACCAAAATGACGCAGCTAGAACAGCCAAATCAAATTCAGCTTTTATTATTAATTGATAACAACCAGGGATCAGGTGAAAGTGAGTAAACTTTAGAACATGCATAACATTTTAACTCGGTATCAGTCATTTAAACTAAACTACATGTACAACCAGTCGATACATTAACATGTACATGGCATGCACATACATGTAGTTACATGCACCACTTACTAGTTTACTGTCTCCTAGAGCATGATGAATTCATGCAATAACTCTATATATAATAATACAATGGAATATATAAGTACTTAAATGACACCACTCACTTATAACAGTTAGCTATGTTGACATGTTGTGGCCCAAAGACTTGAGCAAACAATTGCACAGCTCCAGATAGATAGTCAAGAGCAACTTCAATATTACCAGACTGCAACTGAACCTGAGCCAACTCATACAAACCAGAGGCTTCAAGAGGCTGGGGGGATTGAGGGAAAGAAAATTTAAGATAAAAAGAAAATTAGAAATACAATAAAATTGTTGAAGATTGAAGTACACATACATGTAAAAGACATAACATACCATCGATCTGAAAATTTTTCACTGTGATTGTAATTTCACTGGATTAGAATTCCAAAAAAAATTAGATCACCTACATAATTATATGCCACATTCAATAATACATGACACAGTCTTACTTGGTAAAATTAAATAACAGCATTATTTAAAAACACAGAAGTTTCTACCACATAAATTCCCTAAACTACGGTATACATTGTGTAGCAAAAGTGACAGTACAAAGCAATAATAAATGTAACCATAATTGACAAAAGGTACCTTATGGCGGGTAGTGAAATTTGTCTTTATAGCTAAAAAAAATCATCTTCCTGAGCTCCATTTATCATAAAATTACTCCACAGGATGCAAAAAGTTGCTATCTAACTTTTAGAAACAATTTTAGTTTAACAGAGCACTCAGAGGTTGATATTTTTCATTATAATGATGAATTTTCAAATCCACCATAAGGTACCTTTTGTCAGTTATGGTCACAAATGAAGTTTTGTCTCACTTTAAAATCAGTGTGCTTAACAACAGGTACAATACAGGCAAGATCACCTTCATTCAATGGAGCAGTCAAGGAAAATTTGTAATCCTTCAATGTAATCTGTACTCCTGATAAGAGGTGCGGTCAATGAATATTAGTGAGGTATGATGCCATCTAACCTGTTTTGTTACAGAATTCCCTGAGAAGAGACACTCTGCTAACACCACAAGTAGTACACATGTGAGTTACAGAATTACTAGAGAAAGAGATAGATATTTAAGTACATATACATCATTAAATATTGTTTATTCCGTTATTATTAGCTTACTATTCCAATGTGTACAGGAAATGCTGAAGTACATCTTCCACTAACAGTTTCCATAACTTTCCTTGAGACAAGTCTAACAAAATATATCATTAATGTACTGTACATGTACAAGTTGCATATTATCAATTGCAGCTATTGTACAAAGTAAAAGGTAAAGTAAACATACACTGCATATGGCCTTTGAAATGCACTGCAATGGCTCCATACATTAATAGTAACATAATACAGTCATTACATGTTCATATACATGTAAAGTAAATGCACATTATGCTCTGTATGTCACACATGCTGTAAAAGATATAGCACAATACCTTTTCCAGCAGATGTAGTTTTAGTGACTGGACCACTAGCACCACCACCACCACTTCCTCCTCCCTTCTTCTTGGACTTCTTTTTTGTAGCAGCAACCTCAGAGGGAGAGAGACAGAGAGACAGAGAGAGGACCAATGATACAACAGGAGAGTAGGAGACAATAGTACTGTACAGTACTTACTTCATC